CCTTTGTGATTTAATAAAAGAACTAAGTTTAATAATCATATCTTCATACTTCAAAAAATATTCATAATACAAAATGCACTGATTTGATTTAAATACAGTCGAATCTCCATATTGCGAACCTCTATATTTCGAATCTTTCTAAACAGCAAACTTTTTCCAGGAACCTAGAACATTTCACGATTTTCTTCGTAAAATAACCTCCCAATAGCGAAGTTCATTTTCTATATAACGCACTTTTTCTCTTGTGATTTATTTTTTCCCACCCTATTTTTAAAAAAATTCTGGACATTTTTCAAGTTATTCTCTACTTTAACTCATTTTACGCTGGTCATAAATCTTGAACCACTTTTATTAAGTGCCTAACTCGCTGAGATCAATAGAATCCTGGGCATTTCAACCAAGAAGTGCAACCCTTAAGCCCCATTGTACAGTTCACTGGAAACATCTTCGATATCCCCTTTCAACCTTAGTGGAGTTGTCTCGTGTCCTTGAACTAGTCTCCGTTCATTTGTTGTGTTGATCAGTGGTCCTGGTAACTTCGTTTCTTGTAGCTCGAAAATGTTAAAATGCGTAAGTGCTTGAGCATTAAATAAAAAAATTTAATTCTTCAAGAAGGGGATAAAGGTGTCAAGAAACTTTCCTTGTAGTTTTTCTTTCTTCTTTTCTTTGATAGGTAAGATATATATTAATTTACAAAAAGGTGTGAATATAACTACCTTTTTTAATTTTATGAGTTAAAAATTTGTTTAACATGGTTTATAAAGAAAATTGAAAGATGAACCTCTGTATTACGAATTTTCCACATAACGAACTTTTTCCAGGATTTAGCGAATTCTTTATATAATGGTCCGACTGTATATTTATATGAAATTTTATTATTCCAGAGAGATTGCCTTTTTCGTGAAAACTTGTTAGATATATCAATCACGCATACAATATTTTCTGAAAATACACCATATATAATTTATTTTTACTAAAGAAAATAAGTTATACTTTTTTAAAGTGTGAAATCTATTTCAAGACATAAAATATCAAATTAATGACAAATATTAGCAGTAAAATAATTACGGTTTTAAATATACACTATAATCCCTGTACAATTTTTATGCTGTTTGATATAACGTTACTTGCTTTTAACTCATTTTTAACTTCATAATTGCTATTCTAGATTCATGAAAAAATGTTTTTAAAATGATTTTTCCTTATCGTAAAAACTATATCAAAGAAATCTTTATCAAACACTACGGTAACATATTGTTCAAATTTCCTTCCTTTTTTCACTGATATTTTAGAAATAAATGGCTGCTAAAAGAGTTTATAATACATCTTTTGTCCATTAAATACTTAATAGATGAAATCACTTATCTTGCTAAATCTATTGGGGACCAGACAAGCCTTGATATCCTAAATCTTCTTGATCGGGTTTTTCTAGTCATAGTGTACATTTTTAGCTGGTCCTATCCCACGTGGGGATTGACGGTAATGAGATGGCCGATTTCTTGGCCAGGAATGCGGCTGAGGAGGGGTGAACTCTACTGGGACTCTTAAGTCTAGCGAATTAACCTCCCTTTAGAAGATTGATCTCAATCAACTAGGAAGAACTCCTCCTAGTCATCCTTGGTACTTCAAGAAAAATCCAGGAGTTTCATTCAAGCTTATGCCTAGGAAAAATCAGACTGCCCTCTCGCACTTTACGAGCGGCAGTATAAAAGCACTCACTTTTCGTCGGGGTCAGAAGATATTCCAGAAGTGCCACTGGTGTTATTCCGATCTAGATCCGATCTTGGCTTGTTTGGATTTTACATAGGACGGTGTTCTCCAGTCCAGAACCCTCTTCTGTCTGGGGACTTTTTAGAGATCCCTGGATTCATGGAGAGAGATTACCGAACATTGCTAGACAACCTGGGATTAGTAACAACAGCAAAACAGCAATATCTTACAAACTGAAATATCTTTACTTTACATACTAATTGTATTTGAATTAAATATTTTTAATTTGCAAGCAATTAATTTTGCTGGAGTTTGAAAATCTGGTAAAAAAAATCAATATGCAGGCAATCTCAACAAACTTAAAACACTCTCGTAAATAGTAATTGGGCACAATTTTGTAAATGTCACAGTAGAACTATATATGAAAAGAATATTAAGTAAATAAAGATATCGTAATAGTAATAATGATATAAAAAAGTATAATAATATCTTAAGTCTAAAAGTATTGACTGCAGTATTCTAAATGTTATTTGAAATACTTTTTTACAGTTATAAATATAAATAATTTCTAGTAAACGATCAAAAATTCGTGTTAAACTTTTAAATTGAAGCAAAGAACTGCTATGTTGTTTTAATTTGAATTATTTACATTACTTATTATTTAATGGAACTTATAAAGGATAAGAGAACACATTTCTTCTTCTGTAAACGCATTTATATTTGATAAGATTCAAATACTTGCCTTTATTCTACATTCTTTTTACAGTATCAAGAAAACCTCTCAAGAAAAATGAAACACAAAAAGTAAATATTAAAATGTGTATGTGTGTGTGTGATTTAACAGATTATAAATCAAGCTATTAGTTACATTTGATTGAATACTTATGAATATAGTCTGCTTTGAAGTAATATTTTTGGATTCTATTGAAAAAAAAAATAATTATGAATAATTTATAAGTATGGATGTAATTTCGTGGACAACATTGGAAGCATAGTGCATATATTTACATTGTCAAACATTCTTCATTATCAAAGAAGGATATTATTTAAAAAATTCTAATGTTTTGAATCTAAATAAATTCTTATGTCTCGTTTGTTACTGAAATAAAAAAAAAAGGAAATCATAATTTTAAATGTTGTCAAAGAGGAAAGAAAAAACATCAACTTTCAGAGGGAATTGTTTTTGCAAACTTTTAAATAGATTTTCTTAAAAATGAATTACTGTATCAAACAGATTGATGTCCCTAGTGTAAGAATTATTTTTATCTGGTTATCGATGCTTTATTTTTAACTTTTTTTATTAGTTTAATAAAAAATTTAGTTTTTTTTTTGTTGTTGTTATCATACAGAGAGAAGAAAACTCAGAGTATTGACATTCTATTAAGATATCATATTATAAAAAAATTAACAGAGTAAAATAAGTAAAACTAGAACAGTGTAAGTTATTTTTTATACGATGAGGAAAAATCATTTATATCTGTTAAGTAATGAATGTGTAAAGTCCTTTCATTTTTTTTTAGTTTTCTTTCTTAGAATATTATTTAACCTTATGAATGCAATTAAATTAAAAAAAGCTACTCCAATATAAACTTTCACTTCTTCATGCACTTTGACATGTAGTAAAGCTGACAAATTTGCTTTAAAAAATAGCAAATTATTAGCATTAAAGCACACATTATATATATATATATATATATATGCTCAGTCTTTCATTCCTTCAGAGGGTCGATGAATGTGTACCAAACTTGCTTGGGAACTGAACACTGGGGTTTTCGAGTTAGAATGACCACTTGACCGAAACATCTGCACATGCACCCCAGTGCCTAAGATTGCGTATGCTGAGATATACACAGTAGATCTTGGCCTTCATGGGCTGTTACGAAAATGATTTCAGTATTGTGGGTCGATAAAATGTGTACCAAGCTTGCTTGGGAGCTTAACACTGGGAGTTTCGCGTCAGACTGACCTCTTGACCGAAGCATGGCTCATGCACCTCAGGCCCCAAAGTCACTTATATTGAGTCGGGCACAGTAGGTCTTGGCTCTCGTGGGCTGTTGCGCCTCTGAGTTATGTCCTATGTGATATATAACATAGAGAGAGACAAGGAAAGCAAGCTAAATAGATAGATACACGCACACACACATATATGTATGTATGTATGCGTGTATACATATATGTATGTATGTATGTATGCGTGTATGCATATATGTATGTATGTATGTATGTATGTATGTATGCATAATATAATATAATAAAAGATGAATGTTTTTCTTGCTTCAGTATCTATATACGTACCAAGCTGAAGATAAATATACATTTAACTCTTAAAATGATAATATGCATTACTTTGTTAACTGCTAGCAAAATACAGTTATAAAAATAAGACACTGAAATCGTTACCGAATATATTGAAGACATAGGCATGCTTTTCTTTAGCAGAGACTGAGTAAATGGCAAAAAGAAAAAAATCGTTTCTTGGTAGAAAGCTTAATTTTCCATAAATTAAGTATCCAAAACTTGGTAATTACGTAATAACAAGAAATAATAACAATTTGAATAGTTAAAAAAAAATGATTGTTAATTGTACGGTATTGAAAAAAGTAGAAAAAGATGAATTAGGAAGATTTTAAGGTATTTTAAATATTGAGCTGTAATACACAAAATTATGATTGAAACCATTGAAATGTGATAAAATTTTTAATGCAAACTTGGTACATGTCAGTAAAATTTTCCTGAAATATATATAT